TCCCAAGCAGGCTCCACACTGTCAGCACAGAGCCTGACAAGGGGCTCGATCCCACAAACTGTGAGATCATGACCTGAGCCGAAACCAAGAGTTGGTCACTTCATGGACTAAGCCACCCAAGTGCCCAGGATGGTGGTTCTTAATCCTGACCGCACATTTCAATGATCTAGGCTCCACCTGAGAATCCCTGTCTGTCCCTCCGGAATGCGGCTCAGCCCCATTTTCGAACAGCTTCCCAGGTGATTATAATGTGTCACCATCTTCAGTTTATTCTTGAGCTTGGGATTGAGCCAGCTTGGGAAGAACTTTGAGATAAAAAGGGCTAGGGGATATTCAGCCCTGGCATGGAGAGGGCAATAATTGCTGGAATCTGTGAAGGAATTTGTTGGCTTGCCTCGGAAGAGCAATTCTCATAACATTTACCAAAATGAAAATCCTGATTAATTCTGCAGGTTTATAGCTCCCCAGAGGCTGGAGGAAAACATCCTTTGGCACTAGAAACAAACTTTATTCTGGCAGCATAGATAATTTTGCAAACCCTAGAAACTGAATTGACATATTTCCCTGGAATCCCAATGTACTACATCCATAGAACGCAAAGAAACAGGGTCACGGTCAATGTCTCACACTGCCACCTGGACCACCTGCTTCTAGGGACTCTTCCGGGTCTCTCAGCCCTTTAGTTCTGGATTTCCATGATGATCTGGGCAGATGTGGTTTTGGTCAGCCCAGCAGTTCTTCCTTTGGGGAAACTGCCTCTATCTCATCATGTGCAGTGGATAGACTGTCAGTGATAACAGTTAACATGACCTCAGCCTGTAGGGACATGATCTGGGATTACACAGTAGCACAAGCCCTGGAAACAGTGATTGACTCAAGAGGAAGCCATGGAATTAAAAAACGTCCAATTAGGATTATTTTCAGGATTAATATATGGATGATGGTCAAGTTCTGTCTTGAAGATGCAAAGTTAGAAAATGTGAGTCTGAGTTTATCAGTTGCCATTGTCTTCATAATTTGTGGATCAAGAAACTTGTTTGTAGAATGAAATCTAGTAGAGATGAGGTAGAGAAGGAGGGAAAGTGAGGAGAAAGAGAAAGGGGGAGAGAGAGAGAGAGAGTTGTGGTGTGGACAGAGAGTTCTGGCAACAATATGTCTGGTTTCAGGCCTCCGGGCTCTGGAACTTTCAGTCCTGTGGGCACTTCCTGCATCCTTTTAGGGTTAAGCTCCTTGGAATTGGGTTTCTGTCCCTTGCAACAGAAAGCATCTTGACTAAGACCAATAGTTTCTCGCCGACTTCATGAGAAGGTGGGAGTGTGAGGTATGCACTGGAGAGTGAGGCAGGCGTGATCAAAGAGTTTGTGAGGAAGCTGTCCCTGGGATGTCCAGGTATCCGTCTCAGGGTCATAGCAGTCAAAGGAGGCCAAGTCCTCGATGTTGCAATCTGTGGTCAGCCGCCGCCCACCCGTTACATAGATCTTGTTCCCCATCACCGTGGCCCCATGGTGCATGCTGCGGTCTTTCATGTCCGCACACTTGACAAATTTGTTGGATTGAGGGTCATAAGCAAGAATCCTCCTCGTGTAACCTGAAAACCAAATGGCATATCGGCAAGCTCAGTGTTGCTCAGTTGGGAATGGAAGGCTGCAGTCGGGAAACATGGCTGATCTCTGCCATTGCCCAGTATCAAGGCTGCACTCTGAACTAAGGTGTAGTATGCTTTGGTAACCTGCCCAAGGTGTGGGCACAGCTGGGGTTTGGACTCCAATCTGTCTGATTCTGGCCCCTGAATTCTTAGCCTCAAGTTAAGGCAGCATTATATTAGGAGCAGCCTCCTGATTCCAGTGGCTTTCTCAGCCTCAATGTCATTTTCGTTTCTTTTACACACTCCCCACCTTCCCCCAGAGCCTTAACAATCCAGAGAAGGAGCCTTTGGGAATTCAGGAATGATTTCCACGACAGCCCTACCTGGTCCCTACCAGTCCCCACTTTTAAGATCCCCATTTTACAGATGTGCAAATGGAGGTACAGAAAAAAAAAAGATTAATAAATTACCAGAGAGTATACAGCCAGTGGCAGAGTCAGGATTTGAACCCAGGTCTGACCCTAAAACCAGTCCTCTTAACCAAGACACTATACTGCAATTGCAGAGAAATTATCTCTTAATGGCTGATATTATGAACAGTAGCAAACATTATTTTAGTATTTGCCATGTACCCGGGAGAGTGCTAAGTGCTTTAGATATATGAACACATTTTATTATCACAACAATTCTGTGAAATAGGTATTATTTCATTCCCTGTTTATAGATAAAGACAGGGAAAAACTTCTGGATGAGAAAAAAACTTTGCCAAGTCGTCCACACTCCCCTAGTTGGATGGATATGCTTTTAACAGCACTGTTTTGTAGAACAACATCTGTCTACTAGTGACCCGTTTTCCATGGGAGATGCCAAGTTTGTGTCCAGCCTCACGATCCTCTGTTCAAACTCACCTCCCACGATGACAATACGCTCCCCCAGCACCACTGCAGGGGCGCACACATTCTTGATCATTCTTGTCTCCATTTTGAACCATGTGTTTCTGGAAATGTGGTAAACCTGAGGGAGAAATATAATCATGGTGCTGCATTGTAAAGGGACATATATTTTTAAAAAGATAGAAGTAGTAGTTAAGAGAGTGAAATAGGAGTGATTTTTTTCACTTTTTCCTAGTTTTTGAAATGTAGGTAGGTATAATACCTATTATACCAAGCAATATTGATATATTGGTATATACTAAGCAATACTGATATATTGCTATCAATAAGATATAATTAAATAACAGAAAGAATACATTACTAGAAATTGGTCTTTATGTGAGCCCATGAGATCCTTGGCTATGTGTCTATAGAATGGACCAAGAGTTAGGCATTGTAGTATGTGTTTTCTTACCTTGCTTGGAACATTTTTTTTCTTTTAATGGGAAATGAAGCAACTTGGGTATTCATAAAACCAATGATTTTTCAATCATTTCTATTTCCGGCTCATGTTTAGGTTTCTAAATGTTCCAGTGTATCAGAGAGGGCCTTAGAGCCAAGAATACATTTGGGGCTAGGAGAGGAAGGCTTTCGAACAGTTTGTGCCTGAAAGTCATTAGAATCAGAGAGGAAGTATGAGAAAAGAAAAAAAGAGCATAGAGGTGGGGCAGGACTCCTTGGCCATGCTCTGAAATAGAGTCACAAATCATGATTTCCAGAACATGTTCCCCTCAGTTTAAATAAAGTTCAAATATCAAATATAAATTAATTCAATGTTAGCAAAATTTAACACAAGGATTTAGGATGGACTCATATAAGAAAAGAAGCAAAACATTTACCTACAGAAGAAAATGACAATTCTTTCTATATGAAGTATAATTCTTTGCTGGCAATTCTTTCTATATAAAATATAATTGCCACCATATGAAAGACTATGTTTTGTTAGTTTACCAAATTTGGTCTTCACAATCATCCTGTGAAGTAGGTACCATTACTTGCCTCCATTTTTTTCAGATTAGATTGAGGCTTAGAGGGGTTAAGTGACATGTCCAAAGTCACACAGCTAGAGTGAGTGGAACAGCTGGTCTGGTTGACCCCACCCGGAGTCCATGTTCTTAACCACCACACTCATGGCTCTGCCTGGGGCCATGTAAGTGTTGCCTTTCTTGATGGAGCCTTTGAGACTGGAGACCTCTTAAGGTCTCTGTCGGTTCTTGAAGTTGGTGAAGCATAGAGGAGGCCATGTGCTAAAGACAGAGGCAGTCTTGATGGCTGTTAAGCCTCATGGTTTCATCTGAAAATACGTAGGTGACACTTTGGAAAGTAGGATCCTTGGAGCAAAAGCAAACACTGAATGAGTAATTGCCTCCTGACTTTCTGTTCTCTGTCAGCTTGGGGTATGGTTTCAAAGATAGATTAAACAGTTGCTCATAATCCTCATAATACCCCTAGAGAGGCTGGGGCAAGGATAACAAAAGATGGTCTTTGACCTGTGGAGGAAGTGATGTTATGGTGAAGGATTTGCTTAATGCCCTCCAGAAACAGAGGTAGAAAGAAGGCCGGGGAGAAAGGTACACATACACACACAAAGTGCACAGTAACCCCACTGCGGTATAGTTCCTCAAAGAATGCATGCCCGCAGAAGAACCATCCATTAAAGAAAACTCTGAACCTGTGCCAGAAAATCCAACCTATTCCATCAAGCAACCCCCAGCATTGATTTTACACTCTATTTGAATGAATAAAAATTTCGTATCAAAGTTAATGCTAGGTAGACAATAAAGGTTTCCATGAATGCTTTTCCCCTTTCCCCCTTCTCACTACTGCAGTATAAAAGGATCACTCATTTGTTAGTGGATTTTTTTCTGCCTTTGCAAGAGTCTTGCTTGATGGTACTATGCATTTTTTGACGTGCCAGCTTAAAAGCTTTTCTGAGCCTTGTATTTATTCTTAGGAAATCAATAACAATTTTGCAATGTGAAATACTTAGCATAGTTGTTGACTTTATTTTGAAAAATATTTTTTAAAAGAGGGAGGGGCTCTAGCTTTACATAGAAGCACTTTGTTACATCTGAATTGTGTGGCCAGAGCTTGGTGGAGAGCAAAACATGTCTCTCCTGGCTCAAATAAATCATTGGGATTTGGAACAGACTCAGAATCTGCCTAGATGGTCAGGGAGGAGCTGAAAATATGGGCTGGAGAAGTGAAGGCAAGAAAAAACAGAAATTAAATTGGAGCTTTTCACTTTTCTCCATCTCCGCTGGCACCAGCTTAGCCCAAGCCACCAGTCACCCTGGCCTGGACCTCTAGAACAGTCCCCAGCTCTCCTGCTGTTGTCCACTTAGACCAGTCCTGTCTCCCCAAGCCATCTAAAGGGAACTTCTAAAAATGTAAATTTGATTACTTCAGCCACACTGTTACTCTCAGGCTACAACCCCAATTCCTTGACAAGGTCCAGAAAGCTGGCCAGGTCAGCCTCATCTGCACAAACACCCATCCCCTAAGAATGTTCCAGAATTTCTATAGTAGGGGCTCAGGGGCAGCAGTCTGGGTGGAGAGCACATGGGGACTAACCCCCCAGCCCTGCCTGCCATACCACCTTTCTCCTCCTGCTCTGTGTTGCAGCTACATTCTCAGGCTTTCAGTGTCTCCAGGCCATGGGCTGTGCCCCTTTCTGCTTCAGGGCCTTTGAGCAGCTGCTCCCTTGCCCAGCTTCACCACCTTGCCCTCAAAAGAGGACTCTGCCTCTGCTTAGAGAAGCTTCCCGTCTCCCTCCATGTCAGATCCTTCTATCCACCCAGTGGTTCTCCCTCTTCATTTACTCCCCTTCTCTCTTGCCTCTCTGTTCAAGTCAGCAGACCAACCTCGAAAGTCACACCATCCCCGATTCCTTCTAGACTGGTTTAAGGCACTCCCCATGCTCTTAAAGCACCCCTCCATTTTGCACCTGAATTGCAATTGTCCAGCAAGCTCCTGGAGTGTAAGTGCACTTTCTTCCTCATGCCCACATCCCCAGGGCTCTTACCATGGCTGGGGCTCAATATAGCTCTTGAATAAAATAAATACTAGGAATTTCCGTATCTTTAAAGATAGGCTCATTATTCAAGTTTTTCATATCATTAGGTAAACTGCAGAGATTAGAACTTGCATGAAACACTTCATATTCTGACATTTTGGCCTCTGTTAATAATACTTCTAAGAGAGCTTGCTAGTGATATTAGCATCTACTTATCATTTAAGGCAAGGTTCCCCAACGTGGCTGCAACTGAGAATCTCCTGGAGATGTCTCTGATGTGTACATGTCAGGACCCCACACAAAGGGATTTTGATTCCGCTGATTTGAGGTTGGGTTCCCAGGGATTGGGTAATGGACTGTGGACCAATGCTTGGGAATCTTACAGGGCCTTGCTGAATTGTTAGAAGCATCTGCAAAATTCCTATAGAATTTCACTATCAGACATTCAGTGTGTTCTAGCTTGGACTTTTCCTCCAATGAAGGTAAACTCTTTGTGTACAGGGATTGTATTTGATGTTCCTTTGTATGTGTTAATCTTATACAACAAGAATTCATAAATGGATGAAATCTTGCTGAATTTAAACTTTCTTCTTTCCTTCCTCCCTTCCATCTTTCCTTTCCTCCCTCCTTTACGCTTCCCCTGCAAATGATAGTGTGTATATATGTACTATATGTATGCATGCATGTACTCATGCATGCATGTATACACACGTGTATATGCATGCATGTATATACATGTGTGTATGTATGCGTATATATGCATATGTGTATAAGTATGTGTGTGCATGCACTTGTGTGTATGTGTGGGTATACACTCATGCACTTACATGATGGGAAGGACCAGTCATTTACCTGGATAAGGCGCACAGGATTCTGCATGATGTCCTCTCCCCCAAAAAGGTAGAGTCTTTGGTCTTTCACAGCGACTGCAGGGTGGAGAACCCCCACTGGCATGCTGGCCATACTCTCCCAGATGTTCAAGATGCTGTTGTATCTCTCCATGGAGCCCATGACCTCCTGCCCTTCTCCAATCCCCCCAATGGAAAAGATGAAGTTCTTATGGGTAGTGCTTTTATGCGAGTAGCGGGCGACCAGCATGGGCTGCCCCAGCCTCCACTGATTGAGCTTCAGGGAGTAGATGTAGACGTTGTGGCTGGGCATGTTCTTCCCTGTGCCGACAGCCATGCCTCCCAGCACATAGATGCTGCGGTGCAAAGTGACAGCTGAGGCCTTGTACAGCCGGGTCGGGAGTTTGGCAAGGTTCTGCCACTGGCCGGTCTGTCTGTTGTACAGCAGAACGTCCCTGGTGGTCTGCTGGCTGTCCTTCCTTCCACCCAAGAGGACGAGGAAATCTTGGTAAGAGGTTCTTGGGGGGACATGCCATGGAGGTTGGAGGTCTGGGGCACTGGTGGCACTGTGCAAAGCAAACATCTGCCTCTTGGCTGTCTCCAGGATGGTCTGGCATGAGGGCGAGGACTGAAGGAGGGCATTGTTGGCGATGAAATGGTGGAAGAAGGCCGGGTGGATGTACTGAAGCCTGACTTGCTTGAACAGCTCCTGCACGTGTCGTTTCCGGGCCTGGAGGTCATGCTTGACCCAAACCATGAGGGCCTCAAACACCTTTTCCTCCTCCGCACAGAGCCCGTCGTCCCCCAGATAGTCTCTCAATTCCAAGACGCAGAGCTCCTTCAGGTCTGCCGATGCAGCCACCTCTGGAAAACACGTCAGGGCCACCTCCCTGGCTTTCTTCTTGAGGCTCTCACAACTTAAGATTTCAGAGAGTCTGATCATGCCCAGGCAGTTGCCGGGGGTCAGCTGGCTCTGGAGGTAGGAGGAGCAGGCCTCCAGAAGCTTGGGATACTGTAGCATGGAGGCTGCCTCCATCAAGGGCAGGACGTTCTCAGCCGTGATGTGCACCTCCCCAGTGTACACATACGAGATGATCTGGTCCAGAGTTGGGGGGTCGATGCCCCTCAGCTGGACTTTGGGCTCACTTCTCTCCCGGAAGTTGCTGCAGAACATGGCCCTGAAGTAGGGGCTGCTGGAGGCCAGCACACTTCGGTGGCAGGGGACCTCCCAGGTCCCGGTACAGATGCTCACATCAGTCAGCATCCTGTTTTGCCTTAAGCCATTGAGCTGCCTCAGTAAGTCAGAGGAGAAGTCATGGTCTTTGAAGAGCAACTCATCTGGCAACTCCTCATCCATTCTACAAGGTGGGGAAGAGGTCCCAAGGGGAAGCATGTGCTGAAGTGTTTAACTGTGTTGGCTCCAAGACTTACAGCATCTATGTCTATTCACCAAGATGCTTGTGGATAACGCCAAGAATGTTGCTTAGTGAAGATTGGAAAGAGAGGCCACCTACACCCAAGACCTCACAGCCAACACCTCTCTTTTTGGTTGTGATTACTCTCAAAGGTAATAGGCAAATAGCATCTTCAGATAATCTGAGAAAAATGAAAAAGAACCACCAATGTTGTTGGAAGTTACTTGATTGTCAGGGTCTTAATTAAATGTGAGCCTGAAGCAAAGTGACAGTCCATGCATTTGACCAGCCGAATTCTGTGAGCTTCTCAGCATATGTGTTATTTAGTAAACCCATCTAAGCATCTTTCTGGGTGTTAGTCATTCCCCAAGGATGTCATTCTGGGGGCGTGGCCCTCGGGTAACTAGACAGTATTAAAGGATGAAAATGGGCCTTTGCAACTTATTTTTTAAAACATGATTTCACACAGTCTTTGGGGTTTTGTTTTAAACATGTGATAAACAGAAAGCAGAGACCAAACAGTACCCTGGGCAGGGTTTACTGGATGACATCTGGCAGTCTACCCACGGAAGAATTAAACATTAGAGATATTTACCTTCATTTGCTGCAGTGACATCCACTGATGATGCCTGGTCCGGCTGGTCCCTCCGGAGAGCTTCCACCTCTGGATCCAAGTGAGACCATAAACCCAAGCCTTTCCTTCAGTTGGCAGATGATTTGTCCTGGGAGAGTTCTGGATTTGTTTATGCTAACGGTACTTTCACAGTTTTCTAGAACTTCGGGAAAGAAGCACTGGGCAGGGAGACAGTGTATACATTCCAGGGCTAAGAATAGTTGCATATGTACTTTCCACTGTTATGACATGTGACTTTTCAGTTGCCTTTTGCAGCAACCCGAGGGACTGTGGGGCCGGCGCATGCCCACATGCCTTGTTTCCTTGGCAAGTGTTTACGTCGTCATAAATAGATCTGGAGGAACAGCTTCTCTTAGAGAAGACTTTGCTGCCCACTTGGACACATCCTGAGTCCCTTGTCCTAAAAGTGCCTGGGAATTCTAGATGTTTGTAAACAGGTTGCTGTGACCTGGGGAGAGTCACTGGAGATAGTCTGGGGCAAGCTGAAGGTGGTGGATGGCCTTAAGGAAGCTGGAACATGGGCCCAAGAGTACTGGTCGGTGGGTTTCTTATTTCCCATTGTCTGTTAGCAGGATTGTTGGAGAGGGCTATGATTTCCTCCTGCAGGCTCCGAGGTGATGGAATCTGTGACAAAAGTTGTTTTTAATATTTGTGGGGCACCCCGGAGTCTCCAGACTCTGGAAAACAAAAAACTTTGTTGGTTTTCTGTTTTCTCCCATCGGGGAGTCTTGAGCTGGACGCAGGAGGCAAGGCACATCTCTCCAGGGTGTGCCAGAGAGGGAGGGGAAGGGAGGAGGGAGGAAAAGGAATAAGCAAGAAGAGAAGGAAGGAGGCAGAGAAGGGGGAGAAAGGGAGGGAGGGAGAAGAAAAAAGAAAGAGAGGAGGAGGCAGCCCCCAAATGTAAGAATCAGAGCCACAATGGACAGCTAAGGAACCACAAGGTTGATGCCAGCTCTGTCCTGCCTCTGCCCCCAGGGAGATGCTGATTTGACTGCACCAGCAGTGAGTGGCAGGGGAGCCTGGTTTTCTCAGTCTTGCTCACACTGTGGCAACAGCCTCTCCATATTGACTTTTTCCTTTGCTCCCAGTCTCTCTTGAATCACCTTGAATAACCAGCAGAGTAACCCCGAGGAAGGCAAACTGGAATCTGCCAGTCCCCTGCATCATGCCTTTCAGTGGCTCCCCATGTTGGCAGGATGAAGCCCAGACTTTAGCAGGAATCAGATTGGTCTGCTGCCTCCCTGGAGAACCATCTCCTGCTGCGTCTCTCTCCCACGTACATTTTTTATTCTAGCTCTAGTAGACGAAGTGCAGATCTTTATATGTGCCCGGTCTCTGTTGGGGAGGCTGGGCGGGCCTGGCCTTTAGGGTACCACAGAGCATCGTGGAAGGAGGGGTATCTCTCCTTGTTAGTTGCAGATCACAGAGTGGATCCTACCCCAAAGAGTCTAGAAGATCAAGGTCAGGCAAGTAAAACCATAACATGTCATTAGGGCCAGACGCCCAGAGGCCAGAACTAGGAGCAGAACACCTGAGCCAAGGGGGTCAGAGACCCATCGGGGTACATGCAGGGAGCTGGAGAGAAGAGCGGTTTAATAGCTATCAGAGCTGGTGATTATTTCTGCACTTCTGAGCCAAGCTGGCAATATGACAGGCGAGTAGCCAAATTCCTTAAAAGGTCCGAGTCCCCTCTGTTTTGTGCTTCTGTGCCTTTGCTTGCTCTTCCCTTTGCCATCTCTTCCACTTTCACCTCTGAACTCCTAGTCATCCTTCAAAATTTGATTTGTAGATCAGCCTCTCTGAAAGTCTTCCTTGACCCTCTCACATCATTAATTCCCCAGCCTTCTGTGTTATTTCCATTCCTGTTGCATACTTCTAACATTACATGCCTCATTCCCTCAGTGCAGTCACGTTTACCTGACTGTGCCCCCCGTCTTAGAGTGGCAGTGTCTGGACAGCAAGAACCTTGTCTCAGTCGTCTCTCTATCCCTAGTGCCTAGCACGGTGGCTGACACATAGTGGGTAACTTATGTATAGTTCTTGAATTGAGCATAGCAGAATGGAGACTAGGGAAAGAGGGGGAGCACTGTTAGGTGGGCTTCATACCCCTCCCCCCTCACCATACAGGTGTAGCAGGGCCTTCCACGTGCAGCTTGGCACATGTCCATTAACTGCAATGTAAACAGCGCTCTGGAGCCATCTGGATGTCCCTCATTTCAATAAAATCCAATAACTTGATAAAGAGAAAAATAAAATAACTGCTTTATACCACAGAGCAAGAATTATGAAGCTCAAGGTTGGGAGCTGATCTTCCCAACCCCGTGCTAGTGCTTTAGTCCTTGGCCTCAGAGTCAGCACAAGGGAAAAATAACTTTTTATTGCTCTGAAATACCTGCATTATTTCTCTTCCAGCTAGTGATCAAGCCAAGGGTTTGTTGTGAGGGCAATAGGTAGGGATTTCTGGGAGTGAACAAATACGGCGCCATCCATGGCAAGCATCTTGGAGCTTCCTCTATGTTCCCTAATTAATTAGAATTTCTGGAATCCAGCCCTGTCAAGAGTTCAAATGAGCCCTGGTGTGCCATATCAAGGTCTGACCAACTTTAATAAATCCTTTGGATCCTAAGGTTTAGAAAAAAATAGGCCCATTCCATTGGCCTGGCCTACTAAGAGAGTTCTGACTCTGCATTAAACGTCTGGAAAAGTCAGATTGAGTCTTGGTATTAACCTCATAGCAAACACACACAAATAACCCAAGTCCAATCCAAAAAGCATATCTACCACCCGCATGTAACCCCAACCAACCCACTTTCAATTCATGAATCTATTTGTCTCTGAGAGTTCTATACTTTTTGTCTTAACTTTGTGTCTTGACTTTCTCTGGAACACATCTTAGTTTAGGGTCTGAACATATGGAAACCTAAAATAAATGAGGACATTCAGCTCCTTGCCCCTCCTTTTGATGGAAGTCAGTGCCATAACGAGTCAAGATGCAGGCTTTGGGGGCAGAAAGACTCAGGAGAATCAACATTTCTTCTCAGCATCCGTATGGTCTTGGGCAAGTGATTTATAGTCTTCCAGCCTTAGTTTATCATCTGTTAAATGGGGATAACCAACCTTGTCACAAAGAAACAATGTATGGGAAGCATCCAGTAAAGTGGCTGGCATAGTGTGTAGGTTCACAGTAAATTATGCTTAGTATTATATTGTTACTCAGAAAATAATCTCATTAGATTCCTATAGGTCTTGGTGCCTAGTTTTCAACATCTAATTTGATCTCCTTTCACTCTACCTCTTTCCTTTGCCTTGAACAGTTTGCTATGCTCCTCATTATCTACTCAGCCTTCAGGAATCCTGGATTTGTTCCAGTCCAGGTTCTGGCATGAACTGACTGTGTGTCTTTGGACAAGTCACTTAACCTCTCTGTACTTACTTTCTCACCTGGCTGTGACGGTATGGGCCAGGTGACATCTGAACCCTGCCTTTTCCAGTTCGCCCTGTGGTTTGTGTCCTGATGTGGCCAGAGAAGAAACTGTTAGAGGCTGTGCCTCAGCAAAGGGACCTCCTCTGAGCTTCCGTACATCTCTGGCCTGAAGCCAGAAGCTCTGGCCTCAACGCCAGTCGGGCTGCCAGCTGGTATTCTTTATTATTTTGCCTTTTTAAGTAAATTCATAAAGCCTTCAGTTTCCTCATAGAGTTTTGCATTGACAATACAGGGCGCTTCGCCTCAGGAGGCCTCTCTCCTGTCTGGGTGCCCTGGGCCCGGATTCCTGTGGAGAGGCAGGCTGATTCGAGTCAGCCACAGATCTGACAACTACAGTCTAGGAGGCCACAAAATGTGCTCCATCATGCCCAGGCCTCCTAACACCCTCTGGGGTCAGGCATCACTTTTACCAGCAAGCCCTCGCTGTGGCAGTGCCCGGGAGCTGGGCTGCAAGAATGCACAAATGTGCATTTTAAAGGCTTTGTGACAGCTTCTTGGTGACTGGAAGGCTGTCTCTGCTGGCACCAGAATATTTCCTGTTGCCACAGTCTGCAGATGAAGAGCAAAATGAGGTTTCGGTGAACTGGATCATTAAAAGCTGTAGGAAGGAACTTGACTCTTGCTATATGATTAAAAACTTTTCTGTGAATGTGAGTGCCTGTCTATCAGTGTCTGTATCTATCTGGCTGGATGTGTTTTTTTAAACCAGCTTGTGGAAAGCTGAACAGGGACTTTGTACTCCAGACAATGGCCAGAAGAGGATCTGGTCCCTGATCCCAAGGTTGCCATGACGACTGCCCTTTGAGAGCTACAAGTGCAACACTACTTTTACTAGGCCAGCAGTGCAAATGACTGCATCC